CGATCCCTTCCTCAACACTTGGTTATATTTTTATCATTTAGTCCTATTCCTAGCGAGTTGTTAAGAGAAATTAGGAGACTACGACGAGCATTTTCGTGTAAAACTAAAAAATAGCATTTGATATAGAGTGATTTAGTTGGAAGGAGTGTTTCGTAATTTATATTTCGTAATATTGGCATTAAGTTTTAAAGTAGTCTTCGAAATTTTAATTCATTTTCCTAAATTAAGGTTAAATTTATCGTGTGATCATTAAAATGAGCATATTCCAGGCTGTAGTTTCGAAAAGGATCAAAAATACTAAAAAACAAATTTTAATTTGGCAGTCAATTCGGCATGTTTTGTCACATTGAGCCTAGCGTTGATGAGATTACTGTAAGCAGAGCCAAACTGTTCATGATAGAATCTTAAATTGACATTCAATCTGACATTATGCCGAAAAATAAGCATAGTCAAGCCAGAACTGCGTCTTATCCTAAGCTTGCATTTAAATCAGCACTTCATCGATGCATTCTACGTAGTCTATCCAGTACTGCCGTAAACAGAGCTATATTATGCAAGAGTGTATTACGAAAGTTCACTTGATTTGGCCGATAAAAGAGCTAAATTTTTAATAAGAAATTTTAAACTGGCATTTAGTTAGTCATGCTTCGTTGAAATGAGCTTAGTTCAAGCAAAACTAGCCTAAACGGAGCCAAACTATTTATGAAAATATTTTAAATTTGTATTTTGTTGGCCTTAAACCAGTGCATCGGATCAAGTCTAGCTACCTTTACCGTAAACAATATTACTTTAAAAGAAAATTTTGCATCTACATTTAAATTCACAGGCTTACGAGGAATTGAGACTAACCTAGTCAGAATTACTGGAATCAGAGCTGAGTTATACAAGGGAGAGTCTTATATTTGCATTCAATTTGGTATAATGCCTATTCTTTGGCCAGTACTAACGTAAACAGGGCTAAAATGCTTAGGAGCGATTGCAGCAATACCAACAAGTGTTTAGTTATTCAAGACGATTCCAAAATCAGAATTCATTTTCTTATTCTAGACATTATTATTAATGCCTTAACATAAACTCACGGGAATAAGTCAGTAACGAGCTTTTGCCATAGGGGATTTTTCTAGTTTACCACAGTTTGGGACATTTTACCGGCGATTCGACTCCAAAATACGTGAGTGCTTTGGAGATGAACGTTCTTCGAAGGGAATTCCAAAGTTTGCTTGAGGCTAGGCAATATTACCAATGACACAACTTTAATGTATATACCAATAATTTGATGACACTACATAGAAAGGTAATTCCCTCGTGTTGATTAATCCACTGAATTTTACCGACTTCAGACGTAGAATTATTATGCGAGTACATCATGCACTACTGTGTTTTGGAAGTTGTTTAACGATTTTAACTTAATTTGCACTTTATTGCCTATGGTACTCTGTTTAATTTTCAAGAATGTGTCAAGGGTGCCCTCAATGGTGGGGGCCTAATTACTTTTATTTTGCTCAAACAATTTTGCTGATAGCACTACACATATATATACCTGAAGAAAGTACCCTAAAATGGAGTGACTCCCCATCCCAATTCTGACTATTTAGCCATCGATGCAATGTTTCATTCAGAAAAATTCTCTCATAATAAGATTTCTTAAAAACGCATTATAATGTATTTGTGGAAGGATGGTTTGGTATGAATATATATACATATATGTATTTGTATAACTTCTGAGTAACAAGTGAACGCCTTAAAATACGAATAGGTGGTTCCATACAATTCACAAATGATGTGACTGTCTTTGTCGACTCAATATCACTGAGAGAAGAGTATATATATGTACCAGAAATTATAGAGCTGGCAATAAATTCATCCCAGTTTAGTCAATCTTTTCAAAAGCAAAGCCAAAACGTTTTCCGACGAAATCACAAGGTAGGGTAAAATATCGGCATCAGACCGATAAGTTGATCTTCGTCTAGTTGATGCTACGGAGGGAATAGCTGAGAAATTCCAGAGCTAACCGGAGTAAAAGCAAAAGATTTAGCATGGGCTAATGAGTACCAACTAGAAAGGTACAAACTTATTCACAAGAAAACCATAAGTTCGTGCATAATTAAGGGCAAGATTAATAAATTTGCTTTGGTCATGCTAGTTTTATCAAATACAAATCCAAATTATTTGCAAGCAAATCTCACCATCTCGTAAAAGTCTGAGGCAAAACGCTGAACTTAACCAAGACAAATCACAATTACGGAGAAGAGAGTTAACTTATTCAGGCCCTATCGCAAAGTAGTGTGTAATTCGATGGCGTTTCAATGCGTTTTGATTTGTAAGCTGAATATTGCGGACAAGAGTACTAAATAATTCACTTTCACATCTTAGGGTTGTATTTAATAAATAGGCAAATCATTCATTTTAACATTGACGAGTCAATGTCACCAAGATGTAAGCTGGAATGTTCATGAGTAAATCACAATTTTGTTTGTACGTCGGCGGTATTTCAAGGCTTCGACTTGTCACGTTACTATTACCAAGAAGAGAGCCAAATTATTCAAGAGTCTCGGACATTTTAATGAAGTATGATTTTTCATGTAAATAGTTCCAAGAGGAGTGCTAAAACAGTTTAAAGCATATCTCAAGTTTGTGTGTATGAGAATAGGAAATTCCTTTAACCTGGTTAATTTGATAATACCGAGAAATGAGGTAAAGTTTGATTGCTATTTGAATAAAAAATTCAAAAAGCAAAAATTTTCTTTTATTCTATTAAAGCCGGAGACGTTTGTAAGTCATTTAGAGGAAATCTGAAGGTCTGGTATTATCTGGTGGCAATTTAATCCATTTAGGTAATTCATTTTAATGTTACCGAGGATAGATCACAATTATCGAAGAGCAAATCAAAAAATGACAATTTTTTATCCGAGGCATATCTATGCTTTTAGCTTAATCATGTCATTATTACCGAGCAAAATCAGAGGCAAATCTGTGGGTCTGGCCTATTCATGTCATTAATAAGCAATATAGTTCTAAATATTTTACTAGCTATCCACGAACAGAACAATTGTTCGGATGTAAAGTAGAGACCAATCTAAGCAGATATGCCGGCTTATATAGAGATGAGGGTAGAGAAGTATGGACACTGGTGAGTGACAATTTACACCAGATCCCCATTAGTGCATGTGATTTGCCTGCACTAATGGGCAGATCACCTAGCATCGATCAGCTGCTTTAAATGTTTGCGTTGTTTTGTGTTGGCCTGAGTTATCGGAATCATCGCGCTCAGGCATCGACGGTTAGTTCGATGAAGACCATTCATAGCCAGAAAATCACATTTTGGCTGTCAATAATCGAAAGGCCTCGAGAATTTCATTTGTAATATATGATAGACATTTTATTACAAAAAAAATCTTGGCATGGATGGATAAATCATTGCCACAAATTCATTTGACCTTGCTTGGCTTAATGATTAAATAAGTGGCCTTTGAGATCGTAATGACTTATCTGCTTCGAGTTTGCTTTACAAGATTTTACTTTCGCCGATTATTGACACTCTCGAATTTCCACTAAGACTTATCAGTCACCTCAAGTTACACTGTCGGCATTGCTACAGATCTGCTGTTGAGGCGGCAGAAACCGCTTCTCAAAAGGCGGCGCTTGCCTGGCGGCCGTAGGGCGCAGTCTTCACCACCCTCATCACAAAAGGAGAGATATTTCGATTTAAGGTGTAATCGGCTGAAACCTATAGAGGAGTGGAAGACGAAGTTTACCAGCAAAATTGATGTCCTATCAAGTGATAGCAATGGCCAAATTTGGGTATTGGTGAGAGAAGGTCGATCGCAAGATCTCCATTCATGCATGTGCTTGGTATGCATTGGTGGACCGATTACCCCCTCATCCATTGGCCGCTTTGAGTTTAGTTATCGTGTGAATTACAGTATTTTCTCATCTTCTCACCTTAAAAAATGACCAATTACGTACCACGAGACCACATTACCCGCTCCTTCTGTACCAGTGAAAAGAAACAACTTCTGCAGATAAAGGTTATGCTGACTGCAGAATGAAGATGGAGAAACGAGGAGACAAAGAAGAAGAAAATCTTCAGTGATCTAGACTAGAGCAGTAGCAGTACCGTGTGCATCCCATTTCCTTCAGGTTTTGAGAAATTCCAACATATGAATCAATCGGAAGTTGCGATTGAACATAGTTATGTTAACTGACTTGCATGAACTTGACAGAGGACCCTTGCATCAAGCACAATGCCTACCTAAACAATAAATTTGTTCACGGCGATTGCCCTGACTCGAAAATAAAACACGTATTTAAGGAAGCACAGAGAGTGGGGCTTGCCACAACTACATCAATATTGTGGGCCTGTGAAAAAACCACTAGAGCAATAATGCTGAGTGAGGTGTAAACAAATGGAAGGGTTGTGTAGCTACTGACTACAGTCGTGGTCAAATTTATAGTGGAAGTGGAGGGCCAGTGCTAGGTGAAGAGAAATGAAGCAAAACAGAGTAAATGGTAAGCAATGTGATACGAATGTTAAGTTAATTTTATAATATTAAATGAGAAAAAGACGTCCATTTAATGGCAGAAATGTTACACCCTCTATCCGAGTATAATGACAATGGTGGCAGTGGATAGCAGGAATTCGCTGTGTTTTCCTTTACGATGGGGCAATTAACCTGTATGTTCCACCAGAGGTAAGAATTGCTGAGTGTCATCCGTTGATATGCAATAGCTAGTTATGTATGTACACGCGTGTGCAACCTTTTTTCAGAAGCAAACCCATTGCAAAATTAACAATTCCAGCTGATTTTCCAGTTACTTTTTGGCTAAGTGTTTCGCGAACTTTAAATCAGTGATGGGCGTTTGTGGCCTGTCTCCTCACCCAATGCATATTCCATTATCGTACACTGAGCAGTAAACATGGACGTATCACAGGTGGGAATGTTCCATGCATGTCAAATTGGCATGATCAGGAGAGCCATGCGTCTATTTAGTGTCTATATTAAAGTACGCGGACTATTTAGGGTCGAGGTTAAATTGAGGTTTAAGTTGGTTTTGAGGGCTTGTTATAACAACTATGAGTGCATTCCATTTGAAGTGCAAATTCACATGCCATGCACTTCCTGTTATCTTGAGCTATCATTTAGGTAGATAGATGCCTCTGACATTCCTGACTTTGGAGAAGGTATTAGTGACAGTGGTGGGTTCGCCTACAGCTAAAGTCGGCAACGGCAGTGTATGGGGGAGGAATTGTGCTAGATGTGAGCAGGTTCCTAATGCTGTCTACTTTACAACTTCAGGGTAGTGAATTTATTTTGTGCCATTTTAGTTAAATGTTGATTAATAAAACTAGATATGAATGATATATTTCCTCATTTGTCAGTAAGGAATTATGCGTCATGGAGATGCCGCACAACTGTTGATGGATGCATTGTCTGCAAAATAGATGCATGTGAAAAAAATGTTTTGTTAGAAAAGCGCAGGCTTTTTAGCCGAAATACTCTACATAAATGAATTAATAGGTAATCGGCACTAAATTTCGCAAAAGTTGAAGCAAGGACTACTGCCATGCAAACAAATAGCATTTTTTAGGATGTGGAAGTTAGAGCAGATTTGACAGTCGTGACAGCCCTTTAAATCCCTCCTAGGTAAAAATAATGCGCAAATGGGAACTTTATCCAACGCATGAAGGTTTCTTAGCCGTACAATTGCGTCGGAACGAGCATTAATGGCTGCCTAGCAGTGAGCAGCTCAATGTACGCTCCTAAAATGTAACACAATAAAAGCCACCAGGAAATGGAGTTGGTGAGCAACGTCCTTAACTTTATAAAACTGCACATCATAATCAAGAGTACTGGCATAATAGTTATTTTTTTATTTTTTTGAAAGTCTGTCAATAGCGCTTGCTTTTAATGAAAAATCTACAGTTTTGTAAATAGGACATCCAGAGAAATCATTTGGTATTACAGTTATTGGCATTTAGTCTGCTCAGAGGTTAGCCAATCTTTATATGCGCTTACTTAGCCGAATGATCTGAGAAACCAAGTGGTTCTAATTACGGTGGTGCGAAAGAGAGGTCTCCACTCTCCATTTCCCCCTGTCATCACCTCTTATAAGAAAAACAATTTCGTACCAGTTTCTAGTCATTTTCACTCAATTTGCCTTAGGAATGTGGAAATTTTGTCTGTAATATCCTGACAATAGTAGCACTAATTAAAAGGACTCAAAAGTTAACTTGTTTGGTCGGCAAAATTACGATTTCCAAGATCAGCCTTGATGTGTTGAGCCTAATACAAGGCATTTTTATTTTCATGCTTCCATTCGGCATTTACAAATATTCTAGTTTAATTCTTTACAACCCATCTTCCATGCATCTATCTTGCCTCAGACGCCACTCAAGCCACTCAAGTTAGAGAACACTTTGGTTATTATTATTAGCACACAGGTGATTGGTCAATGCCGACAATGACAGCTAAAATTTGGTCAGTATAAGAGCCATAGACGTGGTACACTTGTGCTCCCACACACGCTACATCAACTCCTTGGCACTTTTCCAACTCGTTAATAATGCTTACTATTGCAATAACACCACCTCAAATCTATCAACCCACCCTCCTCATGTCAACCACAACTGCCTTCACTGATTATGCGTCCACACACTCATCCCATTCCCTCTCCACGCGCGTTGGACAATATCCGGCCTGAATTGGACTTACCTACTGCAGCTGTAGAGGTGTCAGTCGCCCAGCAAAAAATAATGTGCACCTGTGAGATGCTGGACATATGTCTACGATAGACGTTAGATATAGGCAAACTGTCCCACGACTTGCCTAAAGAGTGAGTTCATTCAACTAATTGCCTCATGTAAAAGAGATAAGAAGGAAGCAACTGAGACCATGCGTACCCCAGTGGGAATACAAACTTAACACATATTTCTGATCAGAATAAAGTGTATCTATTGCCTATCTGGGCATTGCATTGGCCCAGATTATTAGCTTGAAGCAAATAATATCCACCTACTCTAAAACAACTTCACCACAAAGTCGGATGCAATTGACTTAGTTTCCGTTTGAGCTGTAATCGTACAGCACCACTTCTCTTTGTGGCAATCATTCAACGCTGCATTTATTGTGTAAAAGTTGCATTGACTGAAGCAAATTATGCATTATGGAATTTCCAGTTTCCCTGAGCCCGTTTCATAAATGAACTTATTTACCCAGAACACTTGGTAGTATTGGCATTTGTGTGTGTCAATACTAACGGAAAGTTCTTAAGAATTTATAACTGTGGATCTGCCACTTAAAGTGTGGGTCTGACACTGGAAGAAGAGAAATCCTTGTCCTCAGATTCAGCAGCAGGAGCATACAGAAGGGCTGGCTGTGAACCCCACTCAAACGCTCAATACATGAGAGGTGGCCAGTGGGTTAGTCGGTCGACACCAGCCAACCACATGCATGAGTGGAGATCTGGTAGCTCAAGTTCGCTCGCCAGTGGCCACATTTGGTCATCTTTATCTCTATATAAGCCAATACTTATGTGTGTATATCCGGTTTTTTAGTGCACTTTCAATTCAGTAGGCCGGTACCTCTCATGCTAAAACGTCCAACGTTCGTCTAATCTGGTAGGCGGTGGCGGTGTCTGGGTTCAACAGCTAAGCGAAGTTATTCAAGTTATTTATTTATTTATTTACAGCCTTTGAGCAAACTTCTTCGTCGTAGATGATCTTTGCCAAATCATCCGATTATCTCTAATCACAACGACTTTGTAAGGGCAACTCAATGCAAGCCAGCACAATCGCAAAAGGCTAATGCAGATCTCATCGATGGATGCAGAGCAATCCACTTAGCCACAAATATCAGGGCGAAACCCCTTTTGTAATCTGCTCATAAGGCAGATGCCTACTTTGCAACCTTTGGGCTCGAATGAAAGATAACCACCAGATCTCCATCCATGCGTGTGGCAGGCCTGCATTGATTGATCAAACATGGAATGTGATTTGGGGCCACCCCTCATGTATACTCATGCCACTGCCGCTGCTTGGTCTGTGGGCGTGTCTGTGTGCTTAGGTAGGGAGCATTTTCGCTTCGCCTCCATCCATGTTTTATAACGCCATTTAAAATAAGTTGACTGAAAGGCAATGAATTGATGCATTGGACATACTGTACGATGGTAGCCGGTGGAGACTCACTGGCCGCCAAAGCTCTGAAAGCAGTTTTGCAAGGTAATCCATCTCTCTTGATGTAATCACCTGTGCATTTATAATGACAATATAAACTTATGTTTGTGGATCCTTTGCGATTCCATAGGGAGGATCTGACAGCCACCTTAGAATCTGTTGCAGCTCTGCAAACATTAGTTTAGGTCGTCATTATAAATGCGCCAATGATTACGTTAAGTGAAATCCATTTAGAGCCTTGGTGGCTTGATTGGATCTCTACTGGCTACTGTAAGATCAAATTGGCAAATGCGGTGCATCAAGAACCATCAACGAAACCTTATCAAGTGGTGTGAGCTGTTAAAGTGGGTCCGTTACGCCGTGATCTCCAAGTGAATTAAGGGTGACCTGGATAACGACTCCACCCTGACCAAGACATAATGATAATAATAACACATAATGTGATGTGTTAATAATGATGTGATAATAATAACACATCATAATAATAATGTGTTATTTTACCCTTGTTTCTGATTTGTTCGTGTGGGGTATTTGGTTAAGGAGGCTCCAGGAGAGCCATGCAATTTTCATATTAATAGATAGCATTGTCTACAAGACGCCCTACTTTTCGTCAAGACATCTAACAAAAGGTCCTCTACACCACACCCATCGCCTTCAGCATAGACTGAGCAGGAAATAATTTGTTCGTCCTTAGTCTCCGAAGCTCATTTACGGGCATTTGTAGACACCCCTTCCCTGCAACGTCTGCTGCACTACCAATGGAGCACTGCTCTATGGAAGCACTATGGAAGGTACCACCGCTACCTGCGTGCACTGATATGTTCATAGATGGATTAATGGAAAGAGGGAAGTATGTATTCAAAGTGAAATTTAGGCTTCCGAATCTGCAAGGCATTAATGAGCCGCGTAGACTATACAGGCGTACAAACAAAGCTCCGTGGTGCATGCTATCGGCTTTGGAAGTGCTTTCTCGGCAGGAGGTGAGGCGGACACAGGCTATTATTTTGCCGGCTTGATGGAGACTTTACCTCTTACCCCATTAAAAAATAAACCAATAAGGCGTGTTTTAACTTAGCATGCATAATCGTGTTTTATGGCTTACAGAATTTTTCATATAACTCGAATAAAAGCTGTACGCAAAGTGCACTCTATTTAGGCTGGAGTAAATTATCAAAGCATAGTAGTGTTTAAATAGAGTTAAACGACTAAAAATGCCTTATATGATTCCACCTTAGGCACATCTCACTGATATACGACTGATCCACCTGTCAGCTCAAAAATGGCTTAGTAACCGAATGTGAAGTGTTGTGCTGCTGTTAAAACAGTTGCATTTTGGTAAAAATAGGAATAATAATAACCTTCGATATTTTACGTAGATCTTGCGCAAATCAGATGCAAAGTCCACATTACCTATTAGCGGATGTGTAAGACTAACTTGATAAAGCAAAAAGCAGTAAAATAAATAGTTATGCCTTTTCTAAATTGTGCTACGAAATACCGAAGCACAGTATCTCGTCTGGGTTTATTTATCGAGTCTAAACTGTTCTTTTAGCCAATATGCTCAAATGCGATTATTTCCATTGTGCATTAAAGCACATTTGTTTGGAGTATCTTTGTTTAATGCATCAGATTGAGCCTGCCTTATGCATTTTTGTAATTACTGAAAAGAGGACTGCAACTATAGGTATATTTGCTCTAAAAACAAATGAAAAGTGCAAAGGTAGACATAACTGCCCTAGAGACTCACACGGCTCGGCATCATATCCATCCAATTTAAATAAAGGAATCGAATCACCAACACACTTTTTGAAGGGAGGGCAGAATTGACCAGTTATAAAGTGAAAAATAGACAGAATATTGTTGTGTTGCATCGAAATTGATTTCCTAGTTGGGTGTTTAGGAGGGAATTACCACATTGAAATAATTCGACTTTTGGACTGAGGAACAGTGAGTGGACACATGAATTGTGCATCGCATGTAGATGTAAATATGTCGCAATCGAAAGATATTCTAGAGAACATGGGGCAAAATATGCACCGTAGTATCGTCCACCTCGGTGTGCATCACTTCCTTAATTAATTGCACTACTTATCTCTTACTCCTCCGCCACCTCATCCGTCCAGAGGGATTAGGCAACCAGAACTGATATATACTGACTTGTCATGAACTGACCATGGTGGTCTATAAAGTACTTAAGCTTAGCCGGGGTGACGGCTAGATAATCTGCTGCTTGACACGAGGTCACAATGCTAGCAGCTAAACGTAGACGATATAATATCACTGTGACATGCATTAAGTGCCATACATTACATGCGTTTACATTGCACTTCATGAGGTTGCGGATTTGTAGCTCTCTTTTATGTCTACCTATCTTACTCAAATATTTGTCCGCTGCTTCTTCTCGGAAGTAGGCCGTGACGAATTGCGTAGGCCGCATTCTTGTGCTGATTGATTTTGGTCTTCGCCACTTGATGAATCACAGACGAATTTAGGGTTTAATACCGACAATAGGAGCTGCCCTTTCCCAAATACTCATTTATTGTATACACTATGGCTAAATCGCCTAATTCGCACTCCTCTGATATCTGCCACATAGCAGATCTTGAATGAAAGGCAATTTATCTACATCAGATTTAAAAGTAATGCGGATGATTGCATTTACACTTGGTTCGAGCTATACAAACCCTTACCACTTTGCATTACAAGTAGTGGTGATAGTGAGCTAAGAGCAGAACCACGATATGGCAGCCATCATTAGCATCAATGATTCACAAATGGTCGTCTTTAAAAGGCTTGCATCATAATCCATCATCTAACGGTTAAGGCTTTAAACTGGTGCAACTGCAAGCAAGAACCACTGCATTTATTGAACCAGTGTGATAGTGATAGGCTGGCCATATTTTACTCCATATGGTGGTCACTGCAGCTGGTTCCTCATTCTTTGGAGGCTGGGTGTAATGCAGCCAATTTCCATCGACTCTTGGTACTGTCCTACTTGCGTGTGACTCGAAACTGATTTGCAGTCGCAGTTGCAGTGAATGTGCTACCGAATCGCACGCCTTACCTCCTGTCATATCACTTGTTCGTTTGGATACTTGCCATTGACAAGAAACGAGTAGCATGAGTGAATGATTTGAAATAATCAGAGCAGTCGCGAAAGGTATCATAAGGTGTGTTAATAAAAAGATCAAATTTGCAAGTAGATGCTGTACTTTAGGACTTCAGTTGATGCAACTCAACGTAGTATATGTTGCGAAAGACTTGTAAGGCAACCAAAATTAGAGACAACACTCTTAAAACAAAGCCAAGCGTTTTTCGAAAGATTCATCGTAACTTAAGCCTTCCTTCATCCACATTGTTTTCACCAGGTCTTGGTTTTAATAATCTCTTGTTGTGACTTCATAAACCACAGCATTAATTACTAATTTACTTCACGTCAGTGACGATGAGACTGACTGCGAATTTGCCTTGTAGCAGTTGTTTCTCCTGGGTGACAACTATTCAGTAGAGACTATTCAAATTGCTGTACCACCTTCATCAAGTTATTGAAAGTGGGGATGAAATCAAAATAAGAGTGACCTGGGCATTCATTCTTCTTAAGTGTGTC